ATATATATCTATATCATGTTGAGCTCTACTTTCCCATTATCTCATTGCTCTTCATCTATAAGTTCTCTAGCTATTTCTGTAGGAATTCCTTTTCCTTTCAATTTTTTTGATCCACCTTCATTCACTTGTCTAAATGACATTCTTGTCACAACATTTACAGGAATGAAGAGAAAGAAATACACAGAAGATGGATAAGGGATAGATCAACAAATGAAATGATGAAATGAAATAAAATAAAAAGAATATGTGAACTAGATACAAACACAGAGAGCATAGGAGCAACAGCGTACATAGGACGAGCAAAAATGCTAAGGGAATGATGCATGAGCCAAAGAAATCATGCATCATCGATGTCACACATAAATTATTTAAAACACCTTTTCACACTTCTTTAATCCAAACCAGATATTTTTTCTTCCAGACCCCTGTGGATTAAAATGATTCTCCGAAGCAGCAAGTTCTGACATCATTAGTCATTTGCTCTGAATCACCTATCAGCCCCATCTGACATGTGTGCACACTGTATCCATGTGTGTGAAGGTTTGTGAGCAGGGCAATGGGCCATATTCCCCAAGGAAGCACCAGAAACATGATCGATACAAGCTACTGAACAGCAATCGAAAGTATGGATCCCTCATTCCTTTACTGAGAGTGTGTTTGTAAGAGTGTGTTTTTACCTTAGGTATGTATGGGAAAGAGGGAATCCAAATTAAATATAGGGAACAATAAAGGTTTAGTTATATTAATCAAATTTATTCCCTTTATTGGTAAAAGATAACTCTCTGCAGAAGGTATAAAGTAACACATTTCTGTCTGAATGCCAGTTGGACAAAGCTTTCTGATCAATCACTGACAATCTGTTTGATGACATGGAAAAGTTCAAGAGTTCAGAGCTAATTATCGTTGTCGGACTACAACTGTTTTAATCATCTGATCGGATTGAACAAGACCAGCAAGCAGTCAGATACTGTACTTCACAACCAGTGGTTTTGACTAGTCAATGGAACCATGAGCTGAGAAACTAAACTTGTCAAATATTATCAACAAATCTAAATAATATACAAGATGCAGTGATGTAGTGTAGTGTACAATAAAGCAAGCGCAAGAGAGGTAAAGTCACAGTAATATTTGGTTTAGTTTGTAGTTTTGGTATTTTAGCAGTTTGGTTGTGTTTTTAGTTTTTTTTTCTTGTTTCATCATCATCATCATCATCATCACCATCATCATCATCATCACCAGATGCCTTCAAAAGTCTTTATTTAAATTTTCTCTCAAATCAGCTGTTTCAAATTAGTGATCAGCACACCTGCTGACCATAACTATCTCTTATTCCAGTTTATACAGACTTGAGCTTTTATCAGGCCATCTGTTTAAATTCCTCTATTCTTATCATATTGCTAGTTTCTTTGCTTTAAAAGTTTTCTTGAAAACTCAAAAGTGTCTCTGTTGTTGGGTCCATCTATCCGAGAAAGAAAAAAAATGTGATTGAGATCATCCATCTTTTCTATAAAGTACCTTTTGGCCACATTAAATTTTCATTTTCAAATAAAAAACTGAAATTATATTTATTTATCAAAGGGTTGATAGAAAAGACAGTCATTTTCATAATTTATTGGGAGTTGCCAGTGTCTTCCTGTAATCATTTGTTTCTAACCACAGAGTTAATGAGCAGCTGTGTTTACAATAATTGATGATTCTAGAGAAAGCAGTTTTATTGCAATGCCAAGGTTTTTTTTACAAGCTTGCCTAGATGGCTTTAATACCAGATGCTGTTACAGTGAGTGGGCAGGAGAAGTACAGCTCAGTAAATATTTTATACTTTACAGATGAATCTGCAGACAGGGAACTTTAAGTAGATGCCAAGCTGGACTGTCTTCGCTCATATCTTCAAGTTGGAGAACAATGTTTTCTGAGAAACATACAGGTTTATCTTGCTTTTTATGTAATGTTAAGAAAAGCAAAAAGTAGAAGACTGGGAATCATTTGAAGGATTATTTGCTGTTTTCAGTTGCCACAACTTTAGCATAAAGATCCATCAACAATTTTTTATGTTATATTATTATT